CTGAGTGTCTATGACGGTCTGGCTATGGGGTTTTGCACAGTTCTGAGAACTAAACACCAAGCCCCCAAACCTCCTGGGCACACGTCCCACTCGGAACAGAAAGTGACTGTGCGCATGGCCATTTGCATTTAGAGAAGCGGTGTAACTTCAACTTCAGCTATTAAAATTGGATGTCAGTAAGTCAGAGCCACAGAAAAGTCTAAGAATGCTTCATCTCTCCATGCCCAGGTGATGCAGTGTAAAGCTGTCTCCAGGAGTTGGGGGAGACAAGAAAAACCCACTGACTCTTAATGCTTAATAGAGCCAATGAAGGCAGGCAACGAGCCAAGCTCTGCATTTACCTTGGCAACTGTACTATTTCTTTCTAGAGTTCTTTTAATTTTGGGGCGAGAGGAAGAAAAGAGAATGATGTGAAACATAATGAAAGTTTTCACATCCTCTCACAAGAAAAAGGAATAAAAGGGAAGAGGACGGGGGGGAAAAAAAAGAAATGAGCATGCATGCCTTAATTAATGCCTGTGGGGAGGTGCAGCAGGAAAAATGTAGTATTATACAGTGGATCTTAACCAGGGGCGACTTTTGTGTCCCCGGGGACATTTGGCAATGACTGGAGACATTTCTGATTGTCACAGCTAAGGGGAAATACTATTGATATGTACTGAGTCGAGGCAATAATACACAGGACAGCCTCCCACAACAAAGTACCTGACCCAAAATGTCACTAGTGTGGAACATTTCGGAGTTGGGAGAAACCTATACTATGAAGATATGCTTCCCTGAATTTCAAAGGTTTACACAATTGCCTCTTATGCAATTTATGCTTCCCCAAAGCAAGTTCCCACTGCAGGTCATGAGGTACTATATACTCAAACCAAACATTTTTAGGCTCAATTATAATGATTTCAAAAAGAAATGCCTATCAAGTTAAGAAAATATTACTAATCAATAAAATGCCAGGATCTTTGGAAAAATCTAATGCTTTGGGATTGGTGCCAAGGATTCTGAGAGAGAAGGAAAGGGAGAGAATATGAGAATATTCTTGGCAAGATGAAACATGATTAAGTAATCTAAATTTTTCCAAAACGAATAAAACATGACAATACTCTTGTATTTTCTTTAAGTGAAAAGAAAACTTTGACAAAAAGAAACTACAGAAACCAAAACCTATACAGAAATCTACACACAGGCCAGTCACTGAACATAGGCTATCTGAATGTGAAGAAAAGCTGCTTTATTAGCAAACATTAACAAGTCAAATAGAAATGTGAAATTATTAGCCGTGTGAGATGTACCGTTATTAAAGTTTTATAATGACCACATTGGAGAATTCCTGTGACAAGGTCCTGAATAAAACAACTTTGGGTTACCTGAGTTACTAAAGTTATATTAGCAAATCCTGTTGATACAACCTTCAGAATATATCTGGAGTCTACGTTTTTACTCCCTCCACTGCTACCACTCTAGTCCAGCCAGGCAGGACCATCTCGTTTCCCTGCTTCCACCTGTGAGCCCCTGGTTCGATGTATCACCAACAAAGCAATGTACTGCTGTTACCGTGGAAAGTCAGATCACAGTCTGTTCAAAACCCTCCAGGGAATCCTCATTTCTCTCAGAGTAGAAGTCAAAGGCCCTCCCCTCCTTTCCTCTCTAACCTCATCTATCTACTCTCCTCGTGGCTCAGTTCACCCCAGGAACACTGGCCTCCTTGCTGTTCTGCAAATAGGTCTGTTATGCTCCTGCTTTAGTGCCTTTGCACTGGCTGTTCCTTTTACCTGGAACGCTCTTCCTTTGGATATCAGTCAGCCCACCTTCTCTCCTCCTGTGAGTCCTTGCTCAGATGTCGTCTTCTGAATGTGGCCTGCTCTGACCACCCTGCTTAAAATTGCAACCCCTTCTCTAAGCAGTCCCTATCCCTTTGGCCGCTCTGTTTCACCTGTGGTCCCTTTCACCTCCTATCTTACTATATAGTTGACTTATTTACACTCTTAGTTAGGGTTGGTCTCCCTGAACTAGAAAGTCAGCTTGCTCCATGGGGGCAGTGATTCTGTTTTGTTCGTTGACAGAGCTCTGGTTCTTAAAATAGTGCCCCCTACACAGGAAGCACTCGATGCATAGTTTTGGATTAATGTCTCAAGAAAAATTTACCCAAATTCAAAATTACTGATTAGCTAAATGTGAGTATTCCATTTACCCATACAAAACGTATAGATTTCAGGCACTGAAATATAACGAATGTCAACATTAATGTGTGCTCTGTGTTGAGTCCACTTGCCAACTGGGTGATGGTACTTTGTGAGGATGTTTCTTCTTACCTGCGGTTTGAGAATTACTTCTATCTTCCCTTCCTCAACACATTTTTGGGTGTTTCCTCAAAATTATTTGGTATCTGCCTTAGGGATAATAAACTAATAAAATCCAATGCAAAACTAAGTTTTTTTTTAAGATTTTATTTATTTGAGAGAGAGAGAATGAGAGACAGAGAGCACGAGAGGGAAGAGGGTCAGAGGGAGAAGCAGACCCCCTGCCGAGCAGGGAGCCCAATGTGGGACTTGATCCCGGGACTCCAGGATCATGACCTGAGCCGAAGGCAGATGCTTATCCAACTGAGCCACCTAGGTGCCCCCAGTGCAAAACTAATTTTGAGCCTTTCCTTGAAATGCCCTCTTGTCTTCATGTAACTTCCCCATGACTCAAGACCAGGCTCAAACATGACCTCCATGAAGTTTCTCCGGCTCGGTCTTTTAATGCTATTTCCCACTCTTTACCTTGGACAAGAATTATTTGTTTTGCTTGTCTGTAAAGATGGCCACAGACAAGTTCTTATCCTTGTGCACATACGTCACACACACCTCCAACCAGAAGGCACAATCTATTTTTCCTCCTCTTGAATCCAGGCTAGTCTTGTAACCTGTTGACTAACATAATGCAGAGAACATAACAGTGTCAACTTCTGGCCTAGGTGTCAAGAGGCCTGGCACCTTCCACCTTTGCTTGTTTGGAGCCCTGAGACACCGTCTTGCTGGAGAGGCAGCCCCACGAAGACAGAGAGAGAGGGAAGAAGGAGGGAGGGAGGAATACCCTGAATGAGAGACTACAGAGAGGGCCCAGCAAGCTCCTAGCTGTTCTGGTCACTTCAGCAGACATGCCACAAGAGGGAAGCCTATGTGGGTACTAGCCATGCTGCCTCAGCCCACAGTCTGTCAAACAGAATCAAGCAGTCCCCATCAAGCTTTGCCCAAAACTACAGAGTTGTGAGCAAATAAACGGCAGTTGCTGTTTGGAGTCACCAAGTTTAGTTGTGTGTTGATCCGCAGCCGTCGGTAACAGATACACTGCCTCATCCCCCTACTGAGACCATCATAATACCTGTAGGGCTCCAAGCACAGTATTCTGCATGAAGTAGGCACTCGAATATTTGTTGAATAAATCAATCAGAAGGTAAATGAGAAGCTGAAGCACGACATTCAAATATAACTACTTTGGGATTTTACTTGGTTTGGGATTATCATATCAAATACCATGACTAATCAAAAGCTGACTGTATTATTGAAAGTATTACAGTACAGTATGTTGTCAATCGTTATGTATTATATGATGTTGATATAATTACTCTTAAAGAACAGAATTCAAAATAAAATTGCCTCTTGAGCAAAAGCGTTTCTAACGCAGTGCTATTATATGAATTAAGAATCTGTTTATACATTTTAAGTTTTCAAAGTGTCATTTTTATCACCTATTTTATAACATATATAAGGAGATATACTTTACTCTTTATATATGCATTTTCTTATATAATTTAAATGCAGAAGAGTAACACAGCCTGCTACTATCACTGACAATTTCCCTTTAATTTTTTTTACACTTCTTATTCTCTTTGTTTGCATTACTGAAAAATACTTTTATAAAAAAGTGTTAATGTACCCAATGGGTTGTTCAGTGCTGAGTACTGATAATAATAATCTCCTTTTCCTATCACCACATTTGAAAAGAGTAAGATATTTTACAACTAATGTGTACTGTGTACACTTCTCCAATGATTTTTTTCATTTGCTATGGTAACATTCCACTAGACTGTTTTGGAATTGCTCATGCTTTATCTCAGTTTATAACCACAAGAATTTTAGTTAAAATTTCCCAAACGTTTTAGACAATTTAACTAAACTCTACTTCATTTTCTTAACCATTAAAATACAATGAAGAAGCCAGACCTCTGCTAATATGTTTTGAGGGAAGGAGAGCCCCATGTCTGTAGATGCTGTGTGTTAGAGAGAGGCCAGTAACAAAATACCAGAGAGAAAGTGGACAATAGGGCTAGAGAGACCTCAGGGGCTCTTAGCGATTCAGGGCCTTGGAAGGGGCTGGGCATCAGGAGGAAGGCCCAGTGGTTCTTTCTGGCCTGCCTCCATGTTCTGCCTGACACCATTATGAGCCAGGGACTGACAGTTCTCATGAACTTGATACTGGGAGCAAATAGGCAGAAAGACTGGATAATGGTAATACATACATTCCTAAGGGTGCAAAACTGTATTACGTTTTTAATTATGATTTCAGACTATGTTAAAAAACTATGTGCAAAACAATGGTGACTATCCTGTATTGCAACACTATGAAAATATAAGCATATGATGAACTTTTACTATATAAACCAAATAACCAATATAAACCAACCCCCTCCCACAATTAACCTAGGATATTGTTTGGTTCTTCCTATTCGTTGGATTTTTTCATCTCTCTTACACACATAATGGCAAAAGAGGAATAACAGAATTTCAGAATACATGTACATTTTAATAAGAATAAGGAAACTGAAATGATGAAAGTGTTCCTGTTAAGAATGAGTATGACTCTTCAAATATAAAGTAGTTAAATAAATGTTTATTTGTAAGTAAAATTAACCTTAAGATGCTCTCTATAAGAACATTAAAGAAACACTTCTGATCATTATCAGTGTCATCAGTTTCTCTTCATAAACATTAAAGTTAGTGATAAAAATGACTTACCTTCACATCCCTGTGAATTATGTTATTATCATGACAATAGCGTAGAGCTTCCAGTATCTGTCTCATGTAATGACTGTAGAAAAACAAAAGAAATCTAAAACTGTAATAAAATTTTTTTATTTTTAAAACTTTATATACAGTGGCCCTAGTTTGTAACTCCCACCTTCATATTCATTGCCCATGGACACTTTTCATTTGAGTAGACAAGACTGGTGGATGGTGAGGCTTAATAATGAAAAAGTTGGCAGACCCATGAGTTTATAAGCTTCATGAAGAAATAATGTGTTCTATATTTTCTAAGATAACCAAGTCAAAAGAATTTCATACAGTTCATAAGTAAAATAGCTCCGAAAATGAAAAATTAAAGCTGAAAACATGGGGCAGGGGGCGGGGGGGATGCAAGTCTCCGACCCTCGGTTAATTGTACTTAGTTACAGCGGATTGCTATTAAGTGAATAGTGCTCAGAGGGACACCATGGATTCTGACTAAAGGGGTGGGAGTCTTTTATCTGCCCGCAGAGGCTGGTTCTCTGCCTTATTTCCATTTAGCTTTGAGGACAAACAAGAGGAAAGAACCTCTTTATGTGTACAATTTCTTTTTGCGATGTAATCAAGTTTTAGCTGGGGCATCTTTCAACAAAGCAGAGTTGTTCTGGGCTGAAATCCTAGGAAGTTGGACTCATCACGTGGCCAGCAGGGATCTGCAGAGGCTCCCCGCCTAGGTCCAGGTGAAAAACACAGGAGGAGTCAGCATTTTGAAGAACGGTCCTTAAAAAGTGCTAACAGGGTCAACTAGCAACAGGGTGTGACCAGAGTAAGACGTGTATTCAGTATTACTTCAGAGCTTACTTTAATTTCCCTCTGTCCGTTAATTCTAAAGTTCTTCTTCCTCTAATTCTGCTATTTCTCTCTGTTGAGTGTCTTCTTATCCTCTCTTCCTCTGTATTTTATTCCCTTCATATCTTTCTCTTTTTCCTATTATGCCCCGTCCTTTTTCATTTTCCCCTTTTCCTTCCCAACCAGCCATGACATAGAAATGCAACATATGCAACATTATTTATTGTATAGTATTTATTGAATTTTATCTTTCTAGATCTTCTATTCCTTACACTTTAAATAAAAACGAAATAATTTACCAGTACTTGCAAATGCCCTTGTGTGTATCCTTATGATTCAAAAAAAAAAAAAAAATTCCCCACTCCTGCTATACAACTAAGAGGCATTTCCATCAAGTTCCCTCTTGGGTACGCTACTATCAAAACTCACATGAATGTCCCTCTCCTTGGCATGTGCATTACTTCATGTACTACAATTGATCAGAAGGTTCCATTTCTTAAATGAAAGGTAGGAAAAAAAAAAAAAACAAACCAACTAACCCCATATGTTGTTCCTATACTTATCATTGTCTCCCCACACCTGGGCTCTAAAGCAGAGAACTTGGCTCATGCTGTCCTTAGTCGTCATGTCAATTTTTTCTTACTTTGCAAACGCACACAAAAGGGGCTGCGGTCATATACTCTTTGCCTTGGCCTGTGCAGCCTATAATCAAGTTTCTGTTTAAGTTAGGGGTTCTTAACTTGGCCCTTTCCTGGCTCAAATCAGGCTTTGAAGGCTATGTGGCCCCCTGAAATGGCAGAGACAAATGTGAAAGTGCTTTGTAAACTCTAAACCATGCTACAAAGGGTAAGTCATTATTATTATTATTGTTAAGTTTAGTCAAAGGTTTAGGAACAGCCTATTTGTGCATCTAGATATGAACATGAGAATAGTGGGTAAGTTTAAATTAGGTAACATGGGCATAGCTTATACCTACAGTATGGACTACTTTGGATACATAGTACTAAGACAGCCACTTATATGTCTTTAGCCTGAAGAAAAGTCCTATCTCAAAGCCTCATTAAGAAAAAAACTTCAATGAATGAGCATTTTTAATCTAATTATCAGAGTACTCAATTATTTGACCCAAATATATATACATACCAGAATCTCTCGAGTGTGTCAGGTGAGGATATAATTTTTTTTCTCCCCAGATATTATAGATTTAAAGTGATCTTTCTCCACCTTCCCAGTCATGACTCTGGGAGGCTGTGCCTGGGAATAGTGTGCAAGCAGAATAAAGAGAGAAGCAAAAATCCACCCACACTGCCTAGAATTGCTGCCTAAACTTTAATTAGAAAGCTTCATTTTCATGAATCATCATGGTGGCCTATACTTTCAGAGAAACTTTGCAATATATAAGTTTGTCTCTATCTCCTGTAAGGATCAGGAATGAGGACGACTCATTGGAAGGAAAGAACTGAGGCCTGAAATCCATTCACTTCCTATGGAAGCCTGCATTTCTGGGGTGGTGGAGGAAAAGAGGGGAGGAGACTCTAGGTAAAGAAATTAACACTCTTGCTAGGCAGAAGAGACCTTGTCCCTGAAATGTTCTTAAGAGATGTCCCGGGCTAAGGATTACCTATGGTAAATAGAATCTAGGATCTTTGAGGTATGGCTGGCTTCCTGGAGTAGGTCATGGAAGCTATACGACTCCTTGAGGCATACAATGGAGACGTCTTACAACTGCAATGCTCCCCTCTGTGTGTAGGATCCCACAAACCTCATGTACAGACCTCATGTACTCTGGGCCACAGGAGCATTTCTGATGTGGGAAGCTGCTTGATAACCCAGACCTCTCTGTTTCAGCTGAGCCTTTTTTGATTGCCTGTATCCTTGTAATTATTTAGTAAAGCCTGGTATAGGTAAGAAGATCGCTCTGATTGTAACTGTCTGATTTGATAATCTGATTCTGTATGTTAGCACACTCCACAACTCATCGCCCCTGAAAGAACAGAGGTAATCACTAATTGGGTTGTAAGGACTGTATGCAGTTTTATTTTATGCCATGCTTTGCTGCTTCTCTTGAAGCTCAGCCAGTTGGGAGAAAAACATTATCAATTTGATTACTTGGTGCCTCGGAGTCTTCTTGCAGTTGGTCTCACTAGAATACTGATGCAAGCTAAATTTCCCAACGATGAATCACAGAATCAGAGGAGGAGGGGGGCAGGTTGGAAGTCATCTGGTTGAATGCTCTACAGCCCAAGGAAGGCTCTACATGCCCTTGTTGTATGGTCACTGATCCTCTGCAAAAGGGCACATACCTAATACTACTTTCTGAGGATGCCCCTCCCTGCCTTTTGTTATTTTTTAGGAAGGGCCTTTAATAAATTGTGCCAAATTTCTCTCTTTGCAGTGTCGCCGACTGGTCCCGAGGCTACGCTTTACTGGACCATTCCGGAAAGCTCCTTTCGTTTCACTGTATGGCATCACCTCTACATGTGACTATTCTCCCTATCCTGATGCCCAGGCCAGTGGCACAGACAGGCTCAAAGTTGAGGAAAAGCCATACAGACAAGTGGGGAACAGAGTAAAAGTGGTAGTGCTTTCACATCAACCCCGACAGCACATGCACCAAGTACCCAAGCGTTACTGTGGTTCAAAAGGAAAAAAGTCCTCTTCCTTCCTCAAGCTTCACTGTTCTATAAAAATCAACATTCGGAATTTTTAGTTTTCCCTATTTGATGATGATGTTGTTGAAAGAGATCAATGTGGGAAAGTTCAAAAGGCAGGGAGCCTCAAATTCTTGAAGACGTAAATATGAACAAAAATGCACAAGGGTCTGAGTTTAATTTAGTTGGATAAAGTGGTTTACTGCTGTATCATAAGAAAAATCAAGACAGCATTGACTATTTTGGTATTGAAGAATGCTTTTAAATTCTGAAGCACAATACAGAATAAAAATTTAAAATTGTGATACGAATTCAAAACTAATAGAAAAATGGGATTAAAAAAAAAACCCCACTAGAGTTGCAGGTTTGAATCCTTCAACATATTATGGTTGGTGACTGAGGAGACCCCATGTATTAAAAAGGCAACCCACTGAAGTGGGTATTTATGATATGATTGAATACCACCAAAGCAGAAAGCTATATTGCTCTAAATCTATAAGCAAGTGGCCTGTGCATGGCTCCTGTGATTTTTCAACTTTACTCCTTATTTTGAGCCATTAGTTCCTTACAACAGCTTGACTTAGAACAATGGCCACCATTTGCTTAGGAATCACACACTGGCCTGAAGCAAATATATTTAGCAGGAAAACTGTGCCTCTACTGTTCTGTGCATTTCGTCAGATTAATTGGCCACATAACAGTTTGCTATCACTAAAAGGCAAATGAAGAACTAATAAGACACATCTGCCCAAAATAAAGATCGAACACACACAAAAAAACCCCCAAATTTGATTCTTCATAGTTCTTGAGCTATCAAATTCCTCTTTGAACAAAAGTCATCAGAAATGGGAAAGACAGCAGTACTATGTTAAGCTGTAAACCCGTATTAATAGATAAATGCATTGTTCCATATTTTGCATTTCCCGTCGCTACTTCGGTTCCACTAATGCACACTAAAACAGACATGGCTTGGCTCCTTGTAGGAAAGACTGGCAGTATGCTCATCATGAGTTCAAAAAAGCAAGTCACTTCATGTCATTTGTCATTTCCTTCTTTTATTTCCACCTTGATCTCTGGGGAGTCCATACGAATGACATACCTGGCTACAGCTTCACTGTATACAAAGCCAGCATCAGCTCGCTTTACGATTTCAAAACACAGATCTGCTCCATCCATACTGTGGAGAAATGTGAAAAAGAATGTAAGAGGAAATTCCAGGAAGAAAACACTGAAAATGAATACATTGCAATGAAGTTATTAGTTGGCTTACAGCTAATGATTCTAATAAGTTATTTAAATCTCCTTTCTTTCAATGAAAAATAGACAAATTATAAAGGATGTTATAACCACATGAACACTGAAAATCTACATGGAAAGAAATACAAAGAACAAGCAAATGGTAGCATCAAATAACGTAAGGTGTAGAAAATTGACCATAAATTTCCTTTAAGTTATCGCAACAAAAAGTCTCAGAAAAGGGCAATGCTGGGGGTTGTGAGCATATTTTTGAGTCAAGTTCCAAAATTATCGGTACCTCGTCATGTCGTGTAATATTTTAAGAATTCAACAAGGATTCTAAAATATTTGACTATACTTATCACCACTAAAGGGAATTCAGGCTATATACTGTAGAGGGAAAAAAAGTAGCTAAATCATAATTTATTTTTGCTTACACTTCAATTACCAAAGTCAATTGCTACAAACATATTCTAACACACTGATGTGTTGGTGACGGAATGGTACTATCTTGCCCCAAACTTAAAAATGGTCTTCTCTATTTCTCAGATCAGTAAGGCCTCTTAGTTGTGTCGGCCACACCTTGCCTCTTCCACCCATCCTATCTAGTGGCTCTTCAAGGATACCTCACTCTCTATGCAGGCTAGACTTATTACTATTCCCTGAACATACCGTTTCCTTTTACGTCACATGCTTCTGCGTATATTGCTCTTCATATTCAAAACCTACCTTAATCCAAGGTCCCATTCCAATCCCACCCTTCCCAGAAAGCCCCCTCAGTGGATTACCAGCCACATTAAGGCTTTCATTTTCTTAAATTCTATAACAACCCTATATGCCCATATCATAGTATTTGGCACTTACACACGTTTAGCATTTACATACATATATATGAAACTTTGCCAGATTATATCTATTAATGAAATTATTTAAATATTAATAGTTAGCCAACATCTTCATAATGCTTTCAGGCTTATGAAATGTTTTCAAATCCAGTATTTCATTCATTCACTTATTCAGGAGCTCACACTGCAGTATACCTGCTATAGGTATTACCCTGAAAAGATAGAGACTTCTAGAAGGAAAAGTAGAGAAACTATTCATTACTATTACTAATAATTACTAATTAGGCATTAGTAATAAATAATCATTACTAGTATTATTCACCAAGCATCATGGGAAACACTCCTTGTTATATCTCCATTCTTACAGTCACCCCACGACATCAGCATCCTTCTCATTCTCAAATAATTTGTCTAAGTAGACAAGTATGTGACAGGGACAGGATTCAAATCTGTATCTATATTCAATGCTCTTCCCATTATCCATAGCTACACCTGCTGGGTGTGCAAGGAGCAAATGCACATATTCAAGCTCAACAGTTCAATAATAGTGTAGAGCCCTAAAGAACGAGTATGTTTTATACTTTCAAAATACTCTCACCCGATACCCAGCAGAAGACTGAGCACACAGTAAATATTAATAGATAACTGACTATATTATTTAAAACTTGGTGTGGTTTTAGATAAATGAAAATATTGTCACGTTTATACAAGGCTTTACAACATCTGCCTGGTTTCCAATTCACAGCTAATGAACATTTTCCAATGTCAAATAAGATTCTTCTGCATAAAATGATCTTTGTGATGGCTTAGTCTACTCTGAAGAATGGTGGTGACCATTTTCCACCATCAGAAATAAAGCCTGAATGAACATGGTCACACATCTTGTGAACAATCCTGATCACCTGTGAGAGTAAAAGTCCTATAAGTGGAGTTGTACTTGTCCTATAGGTCAAGGGGCACATACAATAACACTTCTGATACACTCCTGGCGAAAAGTTAACATAGTATTCCTGCCCCCACTAATTGTGGAAGTGTCCTTTCCTCTCCACCTCACCTCCACTATTCCTTTTGAATCTTTGCCAATCAGATAGGAGGGGGAAAAAGTCACGATTGCTTTAATTTGCATTTCCTTGATTACTAGAGGGTGAATACTTTTCATTTCTTTGTACTGGGGGGAGGAAAAAAAATCCTATTTTTAAAGCAGGCTGCAGTTTAAGCCGGTTGCTTGATCTAGGAGCACTAAAAGACCCCTGACAGTGATGGAATTATAGTTTTTGCTTAGGCGGTTTCCTTTTTAATTGTGAAATGTGAGGATGAGCACTGATCAGCTCAGATGAGAGAAGAGTTAGGCAAAGGAGAGGTGAATTGATTGCATCGCCAAGCAGTAAGAGTCTGGGAGCCCTCCTGAGAGCTGGAGGAAGATTTTTTCGAGGGACCTGTAAGAGGGGAAAAAAGAAGTCTTAGGGGTAGAAGGTAGTCAAGTAGTGAGAGGCCAATGCCTAAAGGAGGAACCAGTCAGTGAGAAACAACTGGAAATTACTTACTGCCCTGTAATATAATTACCAGCATGGATCAGCCCATTTTTTTCCCTGGTCATTCTCTGAAATACTGCTATTTGAAATGATAGTATCTACACATGCCCAGACACACGCAGTTTCAGGTTTCTACTCTTTCTCACTGACCCATCTATTCTTGTATCCAGTACCATACCATTTTTTTTTACTGTAATATTTTTTATTTTAATTTTTTTTAGGTGAGCTCCACGCCCAACACGGGGCTTGAACACATGACCCTGAGATCAAGAGTCGCATGTTCTACTGACTGAGCCAGCCAGGAGCCCCTGTAATAGTGTATTTTAATATTTGGAAAAATAAGTCATTTCACTATTATTCTTCGTCAATATTTTCTTATGAATTTTTTCTCCCCGCTGAACTTTAAAATTAGTTTGTCAAATGCTAAACATTTTTAATATTTTGGTGGAGACAGTATTATATTTACATATTAACTTCTAAAAATTAACATTTTTCTCATATTCTCACCTATGAACATGATATGCTCTCTATTTCCTTTCATGTCTCTAAGTTGCAGTTTTAAGGTTTTCTTCATACTGGCTCCAAACATTGATTACTGGGGTTTTTCCCCAGGACACTTTTAGTTGCTCTTATAAATGGGATCTTTTTGGCCACTGTACGTTTTTTAATACAATGGTTCAAAACCAGGGTACCAAACAAAATCACCTGTGTAACTTTTTAAAATATGCAGGCATGTTCTTTGAGGAGCTAGTCTGAAAGTCAGCCATCACTGTGAAAGAAATCTTCTATTAAGCTGTTTGATTAGTTATTTCTATCACTGATATTAAAGTAAAAGAGGCAATTCATCAGTTTTAAATTTTATGAGATACAGAGAAACTAAAAATACTATTTACACACATTTTACTCATCACTGAAATTCAAAATATATTCATAATATAATCCAGATATAACTTTGAACAAAAAGTTTGATGCCACAAACCTTTGAAAATTTTTATTTGATAATTCTTCTAATAACAAGTGTAAGGCTTCTTTTATTGCTTTTCTCTTTCCTTCCCATCTTAAGGTGTTTTAAGCCTTGGGCTGCAAAGCTTCAAAGAGTGTGTTCTAAATCTCCTTGCTTGGTTATATTCCAAGGGAGTAAAATAAGAGGGAGAAGAAACTCTGCTTTAGAAGGGTATGGGGAATGCTTCTATCCTATATGTAGAGAGGTTTACTCTGACTTGTAAAAAGTGGTGGGATCATGAATGATCTTAGCTGTCCCTTCCTTTCGTCTGAATGAATCTTAAAAATTTTACAGTAAACATGCATTACTTAAATAATTAAAAAAATATCCAAACAAGTATGCCCAATAAAATATATCACAGGTCTAGGGGCACAATGTATGGCTGGTCATATGTGGAAGGGATCAGAATATGGCACCCCAAAATATGCCACTTTGGCATAGGATGATTTTGAGCTGAAGGGAATCGAAAAACAGCAGGAACAGGAACAACAGGAAGAACTCTCTCCTCTCCTCCACTCTGCCTAAAAACAGGGTTTAAATGTCCCTTTGTAAAGGTGTTCCCCTCTCATGTACTAGGAAGACAACTACTCTGATCTGTACAACAAATTTTACTAAACAACTCTTATTTATCATACATTTCTTAGTCACCTTCCCACAACTTACCTCCAACCTGAGACACCCAAACTCCCCCCTCTTCCCTTGTCTAGTCTCTTCATACTTTATTACTCTTTGTTAAAATGGTATATAAGTGTCTGGGTCTAACTACCTTTCTGTGGTATTCACTTTTTTTTAATTTTATTTTAATTCTCTTCACATTTTTTTTATTCTTATGTTAATCCCCATACATTACATCGTTAGTTTTAGATGTAGTGTTCCATGATTCATTGTTTGTGCATAACACCCAGTGCTC